GAACGTTGTAAATTTATATTTTAACATATTATTTGAATACAATTTTGTAAATCGTCTTACCATTTTTTATCTTATTAAGTGTTCTAGGTAGCACAATGATATATTTTAGATTGAACTTGCATTTTGATAAGGATCCAAACTAGGATCGAAACGTAAATGTATACATCTCTAATAAACTCTTTTATACAACACACTAACACCAAGTGCATTGACTCGATTAGGCATTATTCCCCCTTCTGGATATATTATAATGTTCATTGAATAAATTAAAATCTTTATCTCTATCAATTTACATGACAATTAAACATTGCAACACTGCAACAAGGTTAGTAAATAGTTCCATGGCAACAGCCGCCATGCGCCGCGGTGCGCCGGGACCGCGACCGCCCAGTCGGCGCGGCATGACGTTGAGCGAATGATTGATTTTTTTTAACCATGTTCTACCACTCCGATCGATTAAAAAAATATATATGTTAAAGTTGATAGTCTACAGATTATTTTCATGAAGTGTAAAAGTATCTCAAAAATATCAACAAAAAAAATTCCTAAAGAATTAAAAAATTTTTTTAATGGTTTTGTTTACCTCGTAAAAATTTCAAAAAATTTTCTTCAACTTATCTGAACGATGTTTACAACATATATTTTTTTCATTAAAATTGTTAGTCGTTTTCGAAAAAAAACACTTTTGATTTTGCTTTCTCCATCCATAACTCCTAAAAAAATGCAATTTCAAGGCTAATATTTGGAGAAGTTTTACATCTCAGAAGTATCAACTAATGATAATTTGAACTTGATTGGTGCGGGGGCAGATTTGACATGCTTATTCCGCTATGCCCTTTGTTTTTGCAAGACCTTGGAGAAGATGCTTTATTGTCTTGTTAATTGTCCCACCGCGCACCGCCGCGTTCCCCCCTATTGATGCTTCACACAATGGCTTCGGGCATGACGAGTGGTAGTGGGGATAGGAACGTGCTACGATCGACTCGAATTGGTACGTCCGTCGGCGGAAAATCCGGGCTCTAATTATAATAAAATAAATATACTGCATTTGTGGCTTTCACGAGTATTATCTTCAAATATACCAGAAGGTTTGCGATTATCGCTATGTCTTGAATCCGTGATAAAGTGAACGGCATGGTTCACGAAACGTCAGCATTAAGAATGAAGAAAGACACGGCAATAACCCGCAAACCTTCTCATATAATTGAAAATATACTCTTATTTTATTAAAATATTATTTGTTTTATTAATGCTATTATTGAATTAACATTTTTTATTTCAATTTATAATGCTATTGATAAAACATCATTTTTTTCATATAAAAATAATGTTAAAAGTAATTGAAATGCATTACATTGCAATGCACATTTTCATGGAAATTAATTTTGCCATTTATAGGCTCTTATTAGTCATTTTGAGGAGAAAGCGGTACATATTCTTTGTGATGTAGTTACGCAACATATTGAAGCAACAAAGGCGCTACAAACTAACGATGATGGTAGCAACAGCAATGAGAGTTGGTGGAAATTACGGGAATCCTCTGTTTTGGCATTGAGTCTTTCTAAGAATTGTGTCATTGAAAAACAGCAAGCTGGGACATTGCAGTTCGATATTATTAGGTTTCTAGATATAGTTGTTTTGGGAATGTTAAATGATTCGGGTAATTAATCGTATGCATATATGTATATATGTATATGTACATATATATGTACATTGTACACATACACGGTGACCTAGAATATTTTCATATGCAGATGGAATGGACTAAACTGAATTAAAAAATCCTTTACAATTTATTATTATAATTTTCACAATAGTTATTCACGAGTTATTAATTATTAAAAATCATTGTATTAGCTCGGTCCATCGTTGAATGCAAGTACATGGTGATCGGCGAAAGATACAGCAGCAATCGAGGTTGCTAGGCAATCTAGGCACGCAGAGCTGTTTTATTATAATATAATAATAATTATTAATAAACAATTGTGTCTCTATCTCATAATTCGCCGTGCGCTTGTATTCGGAGATAGGCTAAACTAATACGCCAATTTTTAATAATTAATAACTCATTAATTATTACCAAATTTGAAAAGATATGTAGATCAGATTTTTCTGTATCCGCTATAGGCTTACGCTACTACTTAACTAACTCATTTCCCGCGCGCCACGCGACCTTTGCGTCATCTATATTATATGACGGTCGATAATCGCGGAATCAATCTTCGATCCTACTTCTGGTTTGGAGAGGCCAGTTTGATGAGAAGTGATATGAGTGGTTCACCCTCTCAACCTGGTCGTTAGCCCTCGATATTTCAGTCGTTAATACGTGTTGAATTTTCTCGTGCTTGCAATAATCAGAGAATTCTCCGCAGGTGAACGCCGTTCCACGATCGGAAATTATTTTCCGTGGGTTATCAAATGTTGCAACTTGTCGTCTCAACTGACTGAGTATTTCAATTGTGCCCATAGACCTTGTCGCGTACAACCATGTGAACTTGCTAAATCCATCGATCACAACAAATGTATATCGATAACTCTTTTTTGTTGTAGCTAGAAAACAAATGGTCTATGTGATAATAAGTGTTTAAGGGGATTTTAATGGGATACAGGAAGCCTTCTTGCTTGCCTTACTTCTTATCCACCAATATGCAGTCTATGTAATTCCGTACGATCTTCTCGATCTTTGCTTGCAAGTTCTGAATATGGTATTCTCACTTAACAACTGCTTCGGTCTTTGCAACGAAAAAGTGCTCTTATTCATGTGCACGCTTAATTATTTGCGAAGACATCGCCTTAGGAATTACTAGACGAATGTCTCTGTCGATTTCCCTGAATAGTAATTCGCCACTGATTGTGTAACCATGAGCTTTTCCCTCTTGAACAAACTGCATTATTCTTTTCGTATCACCGTCCTCGTCTTGAACCCTTCTGAGTCGAGCGGTCAGTCCACCTTCACTTTCATCGAGTAGTAAACACGTCGGCAAAGGGTTTCGACTTAATGCGTGGCCCATTCTTTTACCTTGATGCTCAATCTGATAATTATAATCCTCCAACGCTAATGTCCATCGCGCTATTCGCAAACATCGACCCTTCTTCGCCATAGTCAGTAAACGCGCGACAATTTGTTACAATTTTGAAGGGCATATGTAATACACGCGAAACTTTTTTAATGCCTTAATTATAGCGAGGACTTCTAATTCATAACTGATGTATTTTTGTTCCGTCGGGGTTGTTTTGCCGCTGGCATAGTACACGAGATGCATTATCGTCAGCGCTGCGTTGTAAGAGGATCGCGCCGTATCCGTGAGATGAAGCATCGGTATGTAGCTCAGTTTCTGCATCTACTTTATATAATTTCAACACAGGTTTATTTATAAGAATCGTTTTTAATTGCTCAAACGCGTTTATTTCTGATGTCTCGAATTTGAACTCTACCCTTGTTCATAATAAATTCGTCAGTGGTCGTATGATAACAGAATAGCCAGGGATAAACTTTCTGAAAAATATCCGGTTAGAACCAAAAATTATTGTACTCGTAAATTAGAGGGTACCGGGAAATTTTTTATGGCTACAGTCTTTAATTCTGAAGGTCGAATACACCCGTCTTCTATTACATGACTTAAATAATTAACGCGCGTCTGCAATAGACCACATTTTTTTTAGTTAATTGTCAGTCCGACATTCTGACTCGCTGTTTTTAACCTTTAGACTGCCGGGATTTGAGATGTTAAACCGCCCTTTAAAAGTGACCAAATTTGTGTCTTGTATTATGTGTCAACTATATACAAAGTTCATATCATAGGCCGAGCCGATATATCGGCTCCCCGGCAGGATAAGATAAAGAAAAAATTTTTGATCATGAAATTTTTAAATAAAGTATTAATAAGGGTTTTTTTAGGGGCGCTGAATTTGATGGTAATTTCTATTTTTTATTTTTCTTTTTTCTTTTTATTTTTTTATTCATTTTTTTTAGTTTTTGTGTTTTTGAGTCTTATTATTATCATCAGTTCTCGTACTTCACTCAGTTATGTTTTCGATTTCACGAAATTTGCATGAATCAAGGTAGAATCTCTTTCGTATGATAAATCTCAAAGCATAGATCTATACATAAAGCAACATGACAAATATTACATTCGTAACTACTTCTATTTGTATACATATATGTGGTTATCTGGATGTATGAATCTAAACTTTAGTAAATTTGGTAAACATACACATATGTTTCTTATAGAAAAAAACTGATTTTCCTCAGAGCCGATATATCGGCTTTCTGGCAGTCTAAAGGTTATATACTCGAGTTTTTCCAGACCGCTAATGCAATCGACAAACGGTACAATCAAATCGTTCATATATACCAATACAACGGTTTCCCACATCAGATCTCTCAGGACACTCGGGTGTCTTTAAACACAGCGTTTATAAATTTCTAGAAGACAGTTGGTACGTTGCACAACCCGAACGGTATCTTGGTAAATTCGTAGTGTCCATCGGGAACCACAAACGTTCTATGCTTTCTACCGACCCATCAACCAACACATGAAAAAAATAACTCTTCAAATCGAGAGTACTTTTACCTTCGCATCCCGTAACACATCCAACTGGTCTTCTACAATACTAACAGCAAGGAATAATGGTCCTTGATAATTTTATTTAGTAGTCGATAGTCTATGCAGAGTCTCGTCGAACCATCCTTTTTCTTCGCTAAAACTATCGGACTGACGTAATCAGAAACTGAGAGTTGTACAATCCCGGCTTCTAATCATTCATTGATCTGTCTATTTACTTTGTCTCTTTCATTTGGTGCTAATCGTCGCGGTCTTAAATTAATCGGGTTATCATCCTTTACCATCAATCAGGAGACGCGGTAGTATCTCCGGCCATGTTCAAAAACTAAAAGACACTACAAGTCTCTTATCCGGAACCATCAAAGTCCATTTTTCGGGGTTACATAACTACTAAAATATAAAAAATTTTGGATTGCTTAATTTATTTTTAATATATTCTGAAAGGTAGCATTGCCACGAGTAATTTGAGCTAAAAAAATTTAAAATCGGTCAAGTCGTTCTGGACATACAAGCGATCGAAAAGTGATGATTTTTATGAAAAATGAAATAACTTCTTCCGTTTCTTTTTCGTCTTTTCTGTCCACAGTCATGTGCACCTCTCTCCTCTCTCACTTTTCTCTCACACCTCCATCAACTTTGACCCACCACACCCCTTCCCCTCCTCCTACTCTCACCACTCTTCTCTTTCACCAAATTTCACTCTTTCGTTATATAATATTTTTTAAAAACAAATAAATAAAACATAAATTAAAGGCTATTAAGAGTCAAACGCAGTTAACAATGCGAAAAAATTGTATCGTCTTTTACTGTCGAATACGGACGCATATTTATTACAGTCAGTCTTTCTAGTATGATTAAATTGTGAATTTAATTATGAAATAATGTTTTTGTCTACCAACAGAGACATATTTCTGATTTTTCGGAATTTCATTACACAACTCCACATCCATTATCTTCGATATTTTTACCTCTAGTTGGTGCACAGGAACATTTTGTCGTTCAACAAGAATACTTGCATTCTAACTCGGAGTAAATGGAGTAGTGATTTATTATTATTTCGTCGCTGAAGATGGTCTAAATTGCAGACCGAAACGTTCGATGGGGCATCTTAATGTTAATTTGTAAGATTATTAAAAAATTTTTTTTTTTCGCAATGTTAACTGCGTTTGACTCTTAATAGCCTTTAATTTATGTTTTATTTATTTGTTTTTAACAATAAAGAGTCCATAACTAGTTTATATAATTTTATTAAGAATTTTTGAATATTTTTTAAGTCTTTTTTTAAATATTTGTGATATATCTGTACTCTAAAAAGTAAGTGTTATCCTAATTTTATTTGCACGCCAACGTCGCGCGTCTGCTACGGCTTATAATCGTTCACTAACATCCGCAGTTTCTCTTTAATTTTTTCATCTTGCAAGTGAGATAAATCTACTAAATCGTTCTCCGAATTGTTACTTATCGAGATTTCGCATATCTTTGCAAAAATATCATCACTATTCGCCGTCTTAATCATAACAATACCTAATTTTACGTTTAATTCTATATTATTAAGAAAATCTTTACCTATAAGCAATGCATATTGTGAAAGTTCAGAAACGATATGCACCGTCATCACGTAAGAATTCCCGTCCACGGTCAATTTCGCGTGGAACTCTCCTATTGTTGTATTTTGCTCTCTGCCTACTCGGAATGGTATTTGCTTACGCTCAAATTTCGGTGAATTTATCCCTATCCTAACGAATTCGTCTGCTCGTATAATCGTGATGTCACTCTTCGTATCTATAATCGCCTGCATGGAAACGTCGTTAATTAACACGTCTTTGGGATGCTTTCGCCACATGAGTTGGTTATCGCACTACTCGCCGTTGCTTTTTCTTTACTCGGACAATTCGATGCAATGTGCTCATGCTCGTTACACTCGAAGCACTTGATTCCTTTGTCCTTCGTAAGACAGCTCGCGCTAACGTGATCTCTTAGTCCGCAGTTAAAGCATCATTTTATCGTAGCAATCTTTTTCTCGACACTTACTGACTTTTTATCACTACTGTCGTCTTTAACACTTTTTTCACTCTTATTCTTCATTACACTTCTATCGTTGACTTTTGCTATCGAAGAGGTTATGTGTCATCTATCCTACAGTCGTATCTCCTCAAATGCCTACATCTGCTCTATCGTAAAAAATCCTTGTATTCGGATGAGGTGTAGATTCCATGGACATAGAAATGTATCTATGTCCATGGTAGATTCATGCTTTCGATGACATAACCTAGAATCTCGTCATCTATCAATAGATCTGTTTTTTATTGTTGCACTCTTCGAACAGGCGCGTACGGTGCAATAAATTGAAGTGAAATATACGTTTGTTTCACTTCAACTTATTGCACTATGTGCACCAGTTCAGAAAGTGTAGCAATAAAAAACAGACCTGATATTCATTTGGCCATGATCACTTTTTTATGGACATAAGGTCTCGTCTTTCTTCCACGTCCGTGCTTCGAAGCGTCGTCTCAACGTGATTTCGTTTGATTTATGACAGAACATGCTACGTAATTAATTAAGCAACTCGTCCGATGTTATAGCAATGTACTCTGGTTTAGAATGAAACTAATTCGCTGCGCGTCCTTTAAGCTTCATACCAATTAAAATCTTTATCAAATTGTCATCAAGTTTGTATGCCGTTTGTAGAAAGCGCACTTGCCTTTCTCACGTCTCAAAATCTTCCGCACGTCCTTTGTAATCACAGAGGAGATCAGCTATTGCTGTCCTCATATTTATCCTAGTATGCGATGAATGAGGTACAGTCATTGTATGATTAAATTCTCGATTACCGCCTCTTATCGTCGTCGTTGCTCGATCATGTAGTAATTCGTTGCGCTGTGACATGCGTAGTAGCTCGAGCTCACATTGCGCCACCGCAAGCCCTCTTTCAACTAGTTCCTTTTCTCGTCGACATAGTTCGCATTCACGAATCAGTGCTTTCGTCTTCTCGCGTTCATCGGAATGGCCGTCTTTTCCAACTTCCGTATGGCTTCGGCCATATTGTTCATCCATGTTGTCTTCTTTCGCCGGATTTCTTTGACTCACGGATTGTTCATACAATGAAACGTCGTTGGTTGCGCCGTCGTTCTGCATCGTCGTATCCTCGTCTTCGCTATCATTGGTTGCTTTCCATCTACAACACAGCAATCACCTCATCTTTATTTAACATTAACGAACGACAAGGATGCAACGATTGCCGTGTCACACCGTGTCACTTCTGTGTCTCTTGTTGGATAATAATCTTATGCGTAGATATTATTTTTTAAATTAAAATAATCCAGATGACTTATGGACGTACTTCTTATATCGTACATATATTTAAAATGTTAATATTCTAAAGCGCCAATCGAAAATTGGCAACCATAACCAAGAATGTCCGACTATGCTTTTCTGCTGTGTCGAATCGTGCCGTGGCGTGTCGTTGTTGGAAAGCACCGCGTTCGACACTATGTCGATGTGTGTCGCCTAAAAGTCTTGATGGAAAGCAGCCATTGTCACTTACGCGCAACCACTCACCAAGAGGGTCTCCGGCGATTCACAATCAATTTATGAGTTCGGCTTTGCGGCCTGCTATACTAAGGCACTAGAGATGTAGGTATTCCTATCCGCCATTTTGGGTCCACTTGACAGATAGGTTATATTACGATTAGTACGTGGTGACAATGTAAATGTATCAAAAATTAAAATAAATTGCCGTTGAGAGCCAACACAGGATGAAGGTGTGTAGTAAAATTTATTTACATATAATTTAGTTACATATAATTGCAAATTGCATACGTTTCGACCTTAATCCAGGTCCTTTTCAATGCATGAATTTTTCATGCATTGAATTTTTCATGCAATGAAAAGGACCTGGATTAAGGTCGAAACGTATGCAATTTGCAATTATATGTAAGTAAATAAATTTTACTACACACCTTCATCATGTGTTGGCTCTCAACGGCAATTTATTTTAATTTTTGATTTATTTATGGAGCCTCTTATTGTTATGAATGTAAATATAGTTCAAGATGCCTTGTTGCGTTGCAATAAATTGTAGCAGCGGATCCGAAAAAGGTAATAAATTAAGTTAAGCACATTTATTTGAAATGTATTAAATCTTCCGGATTCCTCACGGTCGTTATCGCTGAATACTGCGTTCCTTATCTCTTGTTCATAACACGTTTTCTTCAACGTCTACGCACTTATTGTTCGTCATTATGGTATACGTGCACACATTATCTTCCTCGAGCATCCACTCGATCTCGTTTCATCATTGTCTTAACCTTGCGTCGTTTTTAATCATTGCTTCGTCGTCGTTGTATCGTTATCTTCGTTCCTCGTCGTCCTGATTTTGGATCGTCTTCTGATTCTAGCAGAGCCCCCAAAAAGTTGTAGATCAGGTTTTTCTGTGTCCATCATATAGGCTTACGCTACTATTTAACTAACTCCTTTCCCGCGCGCCACGATCGCGACCTTTGCATCATCACCCTTATACTGGATTCACGCTGCATCTGATGTTTGTCGTACGACGACTCTGTAACCAATCAGAAAAATCGTATCACCGATACGACGCAAAATCCTGTTTTCAGTGTGAATCCAGCAATACACACATACACGACGGTCGATAATCGCGGGGTCGATCTTCGATCCTTGTAAAGAATTTTTCGTTTCAGTTTAATCCGCTCTATTTGCACATAAAAATAGTCCTAAGGATAATTTTAGTTTAATTTTAACAGATATATTTTAAAATAGATTACATTCTAAAGAAATATATTCTAAATAAAAGTTGTATGGAGGGGGTTATAAAAGGGGACGTTCAATGATAACCATACAACTTTCCTTTAAAATGTTTTTAGGTACAATTATAATACATATATTTGAAATATTTGTCTGTTAAGATTAAAATAAATTGCTCTGTATGTTACACAATTTATTAGATTTTGACATATTTATGAAATGAAAGCCTAATAAATTGTTATATGTATTATCTTAGGATCGCCTCCGTTGCTTCTTGGCCGTTGCTTATGTCTCGGTGGACGATATGCCAAGATAATGCCACCGGAAATAAGTTCTCGATTTCTAGAAGCTACAGTTAACGGTTTACAGGAAAATCAATCACCTTGTATACGAATTAGTGCTGTTAAGGCGATCTATTGGTTCAGCGAAGCGTCAACTGGGAAGGATCCCATCGTCAACATAATACGTTGCCATATGCCCAACATTTTTCAAGGGTTGTTCAATCTAGTTAGTCAACCTAGCACAGACGTTTTGACTTTGATCATGGAGACATTTCAAATGCTAATTTGGGTAGTGCTGATGCTTTTCTATTGTACATATATTTTTCGTGCGATGTATTTCTATTATTTAAGTTATTTGAATCTATTTGCGTTTATAGCAACATAAAGAATTTACAGCATCAGTGGAAAACAAGATTTGTCCTTTGACAATTGCAGTGTTTGTAAAGTTTCATAGCGATCCGGCAATCTTAGATATATGTCAGGACATATTTAAAGACTTGACACAGATTCCAAGTTGCATCGAGCCGCTGCAAACTCGTATAATACCGACTTTAATAAGCATGATGATAACTCCTGTAAATAAAACAAAGGATGGTATAAATGGTATGCTTTTCTTCTTTTTTTTCTTCATTAAATCTAATAATCGTTTAATTTAATCAGGCCATTAGCTTTTTGTTTTTTTCATCAGAGGGATCTCGAACTGTAGCGTTGGATGTATTGAAAGTTCTGGTGCAGTATTCGCCGATGCCTCTAAGTAATACTTTGGTGGAGACTGCTTTTCCGACTGCCTGCCATTGTATTCTTAACTCGGAAGACCACGCAACGTTGCAGAGTGGCGGGGAACTCATACGCACATATTTATCCGTGGCGGCGCAGCAGATTATCGCTCATCGAGACAAGGAAGGGCAATCTGGGCTACAATACATACTCCAGATAATCGCTCAGCTCTTAAATCCGCAGGTAATATTGCTTTAACCGCCGATTTGTTTATCGGAAAATTAGGTAGCTGGAAACTAGTTACATACATACATATGTGTGTGTGTGTGTGTGGAATAATTTTAGTCGAGCGAATTCACTGCCACTTTTGTCGGACGTTTGGTCACAACACTGATTCGAAATGTGGGAGACAGTCTGGGTGAGAATCTTGACTTACTGTTGAAAGCGGTGCTGAGCAAAATGCAGAGCGTGGAGACGTTGATCGTGATGCAGAGTCTGCTAATGATTTACGCGCATCTTATAAATACGCAGTTCAACGCTGTGCTAAATTTTCTGTCAACTGTGCCTGGGCCAATGGGACAGAGTGCACTTGCGTTTGTATTGTCCGAGTGGGTCAGCAGGCAGCACTTATTTCTCGGTAGATATGATCGCAAAGTCACGACAATCGCATTGTGTAAGATTATGGAATACGGAGTCATTCACAGAGATAGTAGATTGGAGGAGATCGCCGTGAAGGGAGATATGATCATCTCAGGTTTGTAGCGTTCTTAGACTATTTTAACTACACAAAGAAGTTAGGGAAATTAACGAAGATACGACGAAGTGAATTTTTTTGCTTACTAATATAAAATTAGAGTTTCAAAAACCAAACAGGTTCAAAAAGTAAGATTTTAAAGAAACAGAGAGAAAGATTTCTCATTTTCATACCGTTCATTGTATGAATGATAATTTTTCTTCGAACATAAAATAGGTATAACAGGGTTGCCACAAGTCAGGGAAATCAGGGAAATGTCAAGGCATTTGAAAAATGCGTCAGTAAATCAGGGAAAGTCAGGGATTTCAGCGCACTTTTCGGGAAAAATAACATAGCTGTAAAGAAATTTATTTATATCACGACGCCACAATCGATAAAATCATTTCGCTTTGTTCTTCAAGCCAACGCGATTGCTAAAAAAAGATCTTTGTTTACAAAAATTTCAAAATTGAAGACTAAGAAGGCAAAACTTTTGGCAGAAAAAACTAATGAACTAAGTGCTCTTGATGAAGAAATAACATCACTGATGTCATTAACGTTCGATTAAAAAACTTGTACAATTTTTTATGTTGCAGTATTTAAGTTTTCTTTAAGGATTTGAAATTTTAGTTATGTTAAAAAGCTAACATAAACTTGTAAAGATTTAAAATGCTTTACTAAAAACATCGAAATTTTAAAGTTGTCTGTTCTTTTGTTTTATATAAGAAAGTTTTATGTCACTTATGAACAAGTGAGTAAAATAAATATTATTCTATAATTTTATGATTTTTCTTTCAAATATGTTAACTTTTATAAGCAGATTGAGATTTTAATAAACAGATCATAATTTTGATAAAAAAGAAACTGTATTCATTGATTTATGTTCCTTATATTTTAAGTATAGTAGTAAAAAGAAAGAGAGGAAGAGAAAAAGAATCATGTTCGTACATGAAAGGAAAAGACAAAAAGTACTATTAACTTAACGATAAAATGTAGTATCAGTAACATTATAGTATATTATGTAATAAGTGCGCGAAGATAACTTTACCGCATTAGCGGCGAACGCTGCGCACGAGTCGCCGCAGGCGACGAGTGCGCTTGCGTTCGATGTAAGTGCGGTAACGTCGCGCACGAATTGCTTACGATATTTTATGCGGTTCGGTGAGCGAGGTGCCTTCGCGCACGACTAACTACTTCGCGCATACCAACCCCGTAAAATGAACTTCTCGACGTTAAAATTAGTGCGCGAAGGCACACTTTGCGCACAGAATTGCATAAAAGCGAAGGCACCTCGCTCACCGAACCGCATAAAATATCGTAAGCAATTCGTGCGCGACGTTACCGCACTTACATCGAACGCAAGCGCACTCGTCGCCTGCGGCGACTCGTGCGCAGCGTTCACCGCTAATGCGGTAAAGTTATCTTCGCGCACTTATTGCATAATATACTATTATGCAGGGAATGGAAGTAACTCGTTACTTGTAACGAAGTTACAGTTACAAGTTACTTTTTTGGTAACTTTACTGGTAACTGCGTTACTTTCTTTTTTTGGTAACTGTAACTGTAACGAGTTACATTTTTTGGGTAACGGTAACGAAATTTACAGTTACTTTTGTCGTTACTTTGCACACGATTAAACACGGTTCGATTGGATACATGCTATCTATAGCGCTTATCAATAAGACTTGAAAGCCCTTAGACATTCGGCCGTTATGATTCAGTAATTATTTTACACTTCTATCTTCTATGTAATACATAGGACATACAAATATTTCAGTTTGCTGCATATTTTACAGGTTTTAGAATTACAAAATTGTGTTTAAAAAAAATTAAAAAATAAATTAAATAATAGTAAAATGAGAAGGGCTATGAACCCAAAAAGCGAAACAGTTTAAAAGACGATGACAATAAGTGTCGAAACGTCGTTTGTTTTTATCTTGTTTTATCTATGTATTGTTCTAATATATATTTATACATTTAATTACATTGTCATCGTCGTTCTTATCGGAAATAAACTGTTTCATTTTTGGCTCGTAACTCTTCTCATTTTACTTTTATTTAATTTATTATTTGAGCCATTCTACATTGTTTTTTTTTTTAAATAAAACTATATATTTGTCAGTATTACATAAAAAAAAAAAATGCAAAAGTACATTTTTAAATTGATTTTAAAAAAGTAACGGAAAAGTAACGAAAAGTTATTTTTCAAGTAACGGTAACTGTAACGAGTTACTTTTAAAAAGCGATAACTGTAACTGTAACTAGTTACATTTTTTACTCGGTAACGAGTAACTGTAACTAGTTACTTTTAAAAAGTAACTTTCCATTCCCTGCTATTATGCAATTCAGTGAGCAAGGTGTGCCTTCGCGCACGACTCATCACTTCGCGCACGACTAACTACTTTACGCATACCAACTCCGTAAAATGAACTTCTCGACATTAAAATTAGTGCGCGAAGGCACACTTTGCGCACAGAATTGCATAAAAAATATTTCAAAATATTTATTATTGAAAGTCAGGGAAAATTACAAAATTTTGTCAGTAAAATCAGGAAAATGTCAGGAAATTTTAGGATGAAAAATTTGTGGCAACCCTGTATAAGAATGAAGTTTTAAGTTTCAATTAATATTTTGAGGACTTCTTTAAAAAAATTAAGAAACCCCTCGTTCTTCATTTTTGCGGAAATTTTATATTTATCTATTATTTATCCTATTATATTTTACATCTATCTTTTTTTATAACATTAAAAATGATAAAGATAAAAAAGGAAATATCATTGATACTATAAAGTAATAATTTTTTTACTTTTTATTTATAAAATTTTATAAGTTGTAACAAAAACATTCTTTGCAAATATTACATTCTTTATATATTTTTTTTGTTTGATTTTTGTGAGAAAAGTTGTTCACTATGTATATTTTCCCATTGACGCTGCCTGTCCTTTTTTCACTAGTGTTAAAAAATTATACGTATAAGTAGCAGTATACGTATAATGTGATATATATATATATAGATTTTCAGTTTTCGCAGTGAACGGAACGCAACTACTGTTGATAGAGAACGATTGGCGTCATGATCCAGATTTTAAAAATTGGATACATATATACAGGGTGGCTGAGAATAACCGCCTAATATTTCATGCGTGGGTAGAACAGACTATACTGAGTCGAAAAGTCCTGTACCATTTTGCGATTACAGTAATAGTTAACGAGATATTAATTTATAAAAATATTTAAATTTGCGCGTTCGCCGTTGCTAGGCGTTGTTTATAACAAGCGTTGTTTATAAGCGGTAATAGTCATCGTTAGACCACCATGCGTTAGACATGAGTCGCGTGCCTAGCGACGGCGACGGCGAAGGCGCGCGGCGCGCTTTGCAGGGCGGTCCTATCCAGCCGCGCGCTTGCATTTGACGGTGGGCCGGGCGAATTTAAATATTTTTATAAATTAATATCTCGTTAACTATTATTGCAATCGCAAAATGGTACAGGACTTTTCGACTCAGTATAGTCTGTTCTACCCACGCATGAAATATTAGGCGGTTATTCTCAGCCATCCTATATGTATATTTGATTTTTATACAGAAAACACACTTCACTTATACACTATCAGCCAAAAGAGACCATTAATTGAAAACATTTACTATATAAAGTAAAATCAAATCTAATGTATTATAATTTTCAATATATTTTTATTATTTTACATATTTTATAATAAAATGAGAAATAATACAAAATATTTGAAAATTTTATGTAAAATATTTCTTACAAAAATTTTTTTTACGACGAAAGTACTAAAGAAGATTAGATATATTCCCCCCTCCTCTCTCTCCTCCCACTCTCTCATCAGAATTGCCATTTTGTCAATTATTTTTTTTTACTAATCTAGGTAATTTATTTATTTATCCATAGACTCATTTATTTTTTCTGACAGAGCAATATTTGATCCAATTTAGAATTAATTTCATACATAAATTATAAGGAAGAATGTTCTAAATTGGACCGTTTTCCAAATCGGATCTTTTTAATTTAAATAAATACGGTTAAGCAGATTTGCGTGCTATTTATAATGTAAAGTCCTTATGAGTCACCGAACATGTGACAGCAGTTTGCCGGTACTCTGTCATAATATTCATAGAATAGACGCAAATATGTATTGTATTTTCAGCTGTCATGCAAAAATTTTTTTAAAAAGAAAATCCTTGTAAATCATTATTTAAAAGATGGTAAAAATTTGAACAGTAATTGATTTAAGATAATTAAAGAGTGTATAGAATTAAAAAATATTAAGAGTTTTGTAATTACTTTTGCGGTTTATTGTAAAATTTGTTCCAATAGTTTGAAAGAATCCGTATCCAAATCGGACCTTTTTTTGGGTGTCCAAATCGGATCTATACAAAAAAACACTAAAAAGACGAGTAAGCCAGCTAATTCATCGAAGAAAGAAGGTTCGCCACAACCTGGTTGTAATACTGACCGACCAAATCTGGTCTAAGGGACACTAAATCAATAAAATATCATGTGTCATCAGGCTCAAATTGATGGAATTTTTGATTAATTTTAATTCTAATAATATAAATTGTACTTTTATCTTTGAGTCTTAAATTGTTCGTTTTTACTCAATATTAACAAAAATTAATTAAAATATTTTAAAATTCTATCTAAAAGTTCATAAAAATAGGAGAGATCCGTTTTCGAACCATGAGTTCCAAATCGGACCGGAAAATGCATTTTACATTTTCCATTCTAATTCGACACAGATAAGAGATACGTAAAAATCGTCTGAAGCAAAAATAAAGGAAATTAAATGTTCTTTCGAACGGCACTATTGGTTTTATGATCGGACTTTATTTACGCTTTATAGAGAACAAAAACTGCAAATAGGTCTGATTTAGACCACTCTCCTCTATATTCTGTAGATTATTTCTAGGGATGAGATTAAAAACATTCTAAATAAATTTAACAACTGTCACAGTAGGTTACAATTTACATACAAGCTGTTCCGCGTGAAGCGGATCTATC